CAAATAGAGGATGGAACAACTCTTAAAGAATTTTGATGACTGTGGCTAAGGAACACTCTGCTCAGTCCCAATGGGGAAAAAGAAAAACCATCATTCATCAATCATTTGGCCCATAACCTGGAAGCTAGGAAGCTCCCACACCACAACCAAAACAGAGAAACAAATAGCAACCCAGTATCTGGCTTCATATATGTCTGGTGATGGTATTCTTAAAATTCTGGATTCAAACCAAAAAGAGAAGTGAAAGAAATTTTGCGGTGATATAACAGAAACATTACACGAACACTTATTTATGTCTATAGCAATATATAAAAATTTAGATAAATAATTTTATATTGATACAGACATTATATTTAATTTGTATATAAAATTGCACTTTATTATAAATGGTTGTGATGTTTACTCAGAATTGGTTTCATAACTATCACCTTAATTTCCGTAATTCTGAATAAGGGATTGTAGATGTTTTAAAATTTCTACATACACACACACACAAAAGTCATGAGATTTTACTTAATCTAGTGCCCCACTCTTCATTATTGCTCTTGTTTTATGAATAGTATCACTAAGAACTTTGGATATATAAATTTGATTACATAAAAATATATATGATAATAACATAACCATGAAGCCAAGAGAAAGAATTAGTGTCCTCTTTCTTATCTATCAAAATGATATTTTATTGCAAAAATATTCATCAATATCTATTTATATTAGTAAAAGTTAATGCTGCTTTACTGAAATATAATTAAATAGCATGTTAAAAAATATATATCTATAACAACCAAATATAGTTTATGCGAGGAATTTGATCATGGTTCCATATACATTAGTCTACTAATATTATTCATTAGATACATTTATATTACTAGATAATATGAAAATAGCTCTGTTACTCAATCAACTCTCATGAAACATTCCCTTCACATGGTTTCTGTAACCCATTTTCTTCTGGTTTACTTTCTAAATCAAGCAGTTCCTTATTAGTGTATTTTAAAATTAATCTTCCTCTACTTGGCCTTTGAAAACCAGAATTTTTAATGCTGGATTCTAGGCTTTCCTCTCTATTTACTCTATATTCTATATCTAGGGTGTTCCATTTGCTTCTTATAACATCAAAGTTAATATTCTGCTTAGCCCTCTCCTTCAAACTCCTGTGCAATATTCATAATGATTTCACAAACATATATTGACCTCTCAAAGAGAATTCATGCTTATAAAGGCTAAAACTTAAATTACAACCTTCCCACCAGAGTCCTCCCTCAGAGTTCCCTAATTCAGGGATTGGCACTATCAACCTCCTCATTCATCAGTCTCCAAAATAAAGAATCATTATTGATTTTTCTCTTCTCCTATAAGGGCTTCGCTGAGTTGAATTTATTTTATCCCTTGAATCTGTCCGGGTTTATCTCTCCACTAACCTCATCCTTATTCATACAACCTTGATCCCTTTAATCTGGATATAATGCTTATTGATCCTGCTAATAACTTCCCCATTCTGCCCTCATCTCCCCACACCGCACCTGCCATTTCACTTCATGATCTTACTCTATGAACTTTTACAGCCTCATCTTGCATCCCACTTCCTGTGACCCCCAACCCTCTAGTCACAGAGGCTCTCATTTCATTCCACACATATTTCATATTTTCTCCAGAAGGAAAGCTATGCACCTGTTGGGCTGTTTGTCTGAACTATTATGATTCATTCCTCCTATAAAGTGATACATTTCTGGAAATCCTCTAGTTGGAAAACCTTGAATAACCTTCTCAACCCTAACCCCAACCATAATGTCAGGTTCTCCTGAACATTTATAAAAACATTTTTATATTCAGAGGTCCTTACTAAAGTTGTAATTTTACATTTGTTTCTGAGTTTATTTGTTAAACATTTTGTCCAATTCAAGTTTAAGCCCCCTAGGGCAGAAAACTTGCCTCTTTCCTTTGACTCATAGTGGTCTTCCAGCCAGCAAAGGGTCTTATATGCGCCCAAAATATTTGATGAATGCAGAGATGTTGAAAAAGCATTTCATATTGGACATACTTTACTTATTTTAAAATGTTTTTAAAAACAGTAGTAGAGAAATACATTCTTAAGATATTTTCATAAAAATTATATCTACAACTATGTTTGTAAAGAGTTAATATTAAGATTAAGTACCAAAAATATATGAAGGTTCACATCATCACTATTACTTGGCAATCTTTCACTACTGCTAGACTACACAGTTATAAAATAAAATAATAGGTATAAATATTAAAATTAATAAACGAACAGAATATTTAAAAGCACTTTTCCACTAGTGTTAGATTAGGCATTTAGAAAAGAAAATGAAATAATAAAAATAAATATTAAAGTGTGTGAAATATATCATTTATGTTATTTGCAGATAATATAATTTGATATCCTGCATAACTAACAGAATAAATGAAAAATTGTTTGAAATAAAAATATTCTCTGTGTTTTGTGGATAAAAATATATTTAAAAAGAAAGAAAAACAGTTTCATTACATAACAACTATAAATGCAATTGGAACAATTTATCATATTAGAACCATAAGTACATAAAAAAAGATTAAGCTTAGAGATAAAAGGCAAGAACTAAAATAGAAGAACTCTAAAAGTCTATTGAATAACAGAAGAAAATTTAAATTAAGAAAAAAGTAATTCATTTTTGGGCTTGAAATCCCATTTAAAAAGATATTTTTTACAAAATATATAAATTGAAGATATTTAATTTGAGCAATGGAAAAAAAGCCCAAGCAGATATAGAAATATATTTTAAAGTATTAGTAACTAAAACTTGTGATATCGCTTTAGAAATTGACTAATAACAGACAGAATATGGGACACAACAAAATGGTTATTAATGAGCAAAATATTTTCATAATATTCGATTCTTCATAAGAGTAAAACATCTAATATAGAAAATCAATTGAACAAAATACAAATGACTCACAAGGAGAAAGAAAAAAACAGCACAGATTCATGAGAGAAATTCGACAATCTGAAAAGTGACAAATAAACCTAGAAAGAGATTAGCCCTCTTTAATAATCATCCAAATTCAAATAAAAACTAGTGGGATACAGTTTTTGTTAACATATCATAGATGAAAATTTTTAAAGAGTTAATAATTTCTATGTGGACTAAAATGTGAGAAAAGGGCGGCTCATAAGAGTGTGAATAGAAACTGCCTTTTGGATATGCAGCTTCAAAATGCGTCAAAAAGTAAGATGTGAATATTCCTTGACAGATAGTCCATTTCTAGAAATTTATCTTGAGGATATAATTGGGGAAAGGCATAAAATACATTTATAAGAAAATATCACAAGATTATTAAAAATAGCAAAAAGGGAAAAGAAAAAAAGAAATAATAAAATACATCATTAAAGTACATGCATGCATTGCATTGCCATGCATTCCTTAAAGATGATGAAATCTAATAGGGCTTTATATTTATTGCCATGGTATGATGCCTCTAATTTTTTTTTTTAAGAAAAATGGCAGGCTATACAATAGCATGTGTAGTTAATATGTGCAAACAATATGAATAAAACAACATCAGACTTTGTTTTAGTGCGTTATGTAATATTTTGCCACATTCGAAATTTGTAAGTGCATGGTTTTGGTGGTTCAACTTTCATAAATTATTTTATCTATGAGGGAAGATTTCATTCAATGACTCTGGTCTGTGTTAGGAGGGTTTCTTCAAAGAAGTAGGCAGCCATTCTCTGAGCAAATGAAAGCAAGCACAAGCTTATACATGGCTGTTCACTTAAAGGTAAATGCTACATAAGTTAAAACTATATATTGAAAACCAAGTCAGTACTTCTCAATCTGAGCCTCAAAGCCTCTAGGGTAGGTAGCCTAAATTGTGGGCATTGATTTGCAAGGAAGCCATTTTGCACATGACCATGTGTGGGGAGTGCTCCATGAAGAGTAGCAGCAGATTTCTGTATTTAATGATGGTAACTGTCTCTCAAGAGAAATTGCTGATAGGCTAAAGAATTTGTTCATGTGGTTATATCTGGGTGGCATTATTTTGAATATCTGAAATTATTTTTTGTATTTCAGTTTACATTATTGAATTTCATAAAAGGACACATATAAAATCACTTTCATTTTTATGAGATGGAGATTCAATGTAAAACCTGAAAATAGAGGGGAAAGTCATATTTAATGGGATTGACAAGCCACAGTGTCCTTAGGTTGATAACCTTTCCAAATATGAAGATGTACATAAGAGATGACAAAACTTCCTGAAATTATTCACTGTCTTAAAATGACTTGTGAGACATTCTAAAGAGAAATTTGCAGTAAGGCATATTAACTTCAGAGCATGTTTCACAGGAAGATCAAAGAGCTGTGAAAGCATACTGACAGATATATCCCTTTTATCTAAATGTTGTGTTTAACTCAAATGCTATCAAAACCCATATTCTTGTGATTTAGAATTCTTTATAATTATCAATGTGAATGAGAAACATATCAATAGATATTAAAGTTTGGAATCATTCTGACTTTAAATAAATGCTTATTAACAAATTTAGTGATGATTTCATTAAATAAATATTAACTATTCTGTTTGTATTAATGTTTATAAACACTTGTGATAGCCAATATTAATTTCAGGTATTGTTGCTTGTACCTTTTGATGAACTTTATCAAACCATTGTTTATAAGTAGAAAAAAAAAACTTGTTTAAATATGACATTGAATTGAGTATTTAGAAATAAACTGTTCTTTTCCCAAATTATCATTTCAACATATGTCCTTTACAAAATTGTATGGTTTTGTCGTTTATCCTGTCTCAAAAACGTTGGCCCCTAGACATAAATTTTATACTGTTGCCCAAGGGAATTCAATATTATGCTCTTTGATTTCTCCTTTTATATTTAACACATTTCACATCTTAAATAAAAGCAAACAAATAAACAAATAAAAACCCTACATTGTTGACAACCATGTTCTCAAAATTCAGACTTCACTGAAAGGTCTTACTGCACCTCCTTTCCCCATCGTCCACTGAACCCTTAATCCCAATAATTAGATTGTGGTTTTTTTTTTTTTTTTCCTATCACTCTAATAAAGCTGCTTATGAAAGTGACCAATGAACTTTCTTTTTTTTTTTTAACTTTTTGTCTTTTTTACTGACCGGCAACGGGATCGCAACCCTTGGTGTTGCGCCCGCACCGCGCTCAGCCAGTGAGCGGGAACTGGTCTCCACATGGGATCGGAACCCTCGGCGGGAGCGCCACCACACTCCCAACCGGCACACTCTCCAGTGCGCCACCGGGCCGGCCCGACCAATGAACTTTCCATCATAATTTTTTCTTGATCATTCTACATTATGTGACATGCTTTGATTCTTCCACTAAAATCTCCACTTGCATAGTTTTGGGTAGTACTATCAAAGCCCCACAATAGACTGGGTTAAAGTTCAGTTTCTAGAGCCCACTCCTAGCTAAACCTCATACAAACTAAGTTTAGATACATTACTTATATTCTCATCACCGTTTATAACTTATCTATAAATTTGAAATAATAATAATATTTCTCACATGGGGTTTCTGTCATAATTAAATAATAAAATGTTTGAAAATCCTTTGGCAGGAGTAAATGTTGTCTATATTTTTACCTATGCTGCTTTTCCTTGTATTACTCTAGTAGCCCTTTGTTTCCTTGGGATGGTATTTATCCTTCTTCTGTTGCTACTTTAAAGACATCTTATAAGTCTCACTCCCTGGTCTCTCTTCTTTTTTCTATACACTTTAATATTCTACAAATTCAAACCTTAACAGATGTAATACCAAGTCTGTATTTCTATTTTTGTTATGTCGTCAACAGTTCAGTCGTAAATTTCTATTGTCTTCAAAACAATTCCACTTTTGAAGGACTGAATTTTCTTCATAGAGATTCTTTTGCTTATATTTATGCACTTATCCAATGTCGTTTGGAAATTCCAGCTTAGTGTGATTTTGGGTGGCAATTGCCTAATGGTGAACTCAACTATATACATACAGAGAGAGATATATATAGAGATATAATTTATTTATATATATATTATCTATATATATATATTGATTGTATATATTTATATGTTATAGATGTGTGTACATATATATATTTATTTTTCTAATGTTAATCACATTGATCAGAAAGTAGAAATAACTGGGTAAATCTAGTGCTATGATCATCTGCTGAAGTATGCAAAAAAAGTTTTTGGAGAATTTTAGTTATCAGACAAGAGTCAATTAGAACCTAAACTACAATTACATAGCTAAAAATGATTTTACATTTTAGATTTAAGTTAATCTAAACCTACATTAAAGTATTATAAAGTACACCTAATCCCTGATTAAACTTTGAATTGCCATGTTGGATTGAGAACAAGATCTTTGCACCATTAAAATAAAAATAAATCATAAAGTCTAAAAACAGTGACTATCAGTAAAATACACTTATTTTAATCAAATAGTTATTATTAATATTAATAGTCATGTCACGTTCTAAAAAGATAGAACACAAAGAATATTGTATAAAATGTGTAGCTTTCAGTAAAATTATTTTTAGGCAAAACTGGACTCAAGCATGCAAATGTACCAAGGACACATACTATGAAAAAAAGGAAAGCAGATGCTACATGCACTACCTATATTCCATTAAATTTTTAAATAAGAAAATCAAGCATTTTCAGTAACAACTTTTGTAACTATTCCCAGCTATAGTACAGAGAATACTGGTTCAAAGCTTTTTGGTGTATCAAATAAAATAGTATATGTAAAATACTTTGAGTTCCATAGCACATTGTATAAATATTTACTAAGTTCCTTCACCTACAACAGTGTAAAATAGTTTTAAATGCAACAGTTATGCCTTAAAACCACTAATATATGATAAAGGGAAATTCTTTTTATGTCCTACTTTGTCATAAAAAACCATGCGTAAATGATAAATGGTATATTATTCTGCATACCTTTAAAAATGAAGCAACATGTTTGGAAAATAGTCTTTTTTGAAAGATGGAGAACTCTGAACATCCGAAACATGATGAGGGAGATGCAGGCAGATATAAACACACCAAAATAAGTAGGAGAATACTGTAAATGGTGGGACACGCTATACGGTTGCTTTCATATAAATCAGATCAAGATTTGAGATATTAAAACTTCTCTCTGTTTTATAACAGAGAGAGATTTTCTACAGGTGACTACCTGCTGCAAATGAAAATCCGTAGAGTAGAAACACAGTTTATAAAACTGTTTTTTCTTCTAGGAGCATGGTTGTGATGGTGAAATATACAGACATCCTTAGACAAAGATGTTGGCACTATTTTGTCATTAATCACAGAGGATTTACAAGAAACAAGGGGCTGGTTAGTTGTAAGATAAAGGTACTCTATTTGTTGCTTGTGAGAAATGAAAATGTATCTTTTCTAGCATCAATGTTGCTCTAATGATTGAGGAAAGTACCACTAACCCTTTATCAGCTGCATACTTTCATGCTAGTGTAGTGGAGAGAAGCAGATTTAGCTCAGTTTGGAGTTTTTTACTCACGTTTCCAAAATATTATATTGGCAAATACACTTTACATATTACAATATGACCTTTTAAAAAACAAACAAAAATAACAATATGGCCTTTTAAAATGCTAGTCTTAAGTTGATGTTTGTAATAATCTTATTTTCATACTTCAGATGGCAAAAAAGAATGGTGCATAGGATTTTTAAAAAGCCAAGAGTCCTTATATAATTCTGGTGCCTATTTTTTTTTCGTCAAAATCACTGAGAAGAATTCATGGTCCAGAAATCTAAAATGTTATACTGAGCCATTCCTATAGAGAAGGCCCTAAGCCTAATATAGTGGAGTTACAAAAAATAAGAAGCATTAATCCAAGCTCAAGATATCTTTAGTATCATCAAAGGAAAAACACTCATGGAAGTAAAAACTAAATAATCATCCCAAAACATTTATTTGGTACTTGATGACGACCACCAAGGCTTAAATACACTTGACCATTCTTTAACCTGAAACAGATAAAGTGTAAAGAAATATCAAGATTCAAAAACCTTGGGTTTGAAATTTAGTGCTGATACTTGAGCAAGTCTTTTAACCTATCTGAGCTTTTATTTCTCTGCTCACAAGTTGGGCACCTTAACAGAATTCCTTATACCATTTATTGAAATATAACATTTGAAAAGGATATGTAAAGTACATATACAGAACTCAAAAAGTATGAATATTCATGCTCCCAACAACCAGATAAATGAAATATGTTAATGTACTTTGAAAGTCTCATTTTGCACTTGCCCACTGCACCTCTCCCTATTGAGCACAGAGATAACCATTATTTCTGTTGTTTCTCTTCTTTATTTTATACTAAATTCTTTATAAAAATGGCATCATACTGTATACAATTTGCAATTTTAACTGCTAGTTATTTTTTATTTACTCATGTTAACATATGTATTTCAAGTTCATTTATTTTCACTTTATGTAATAGTTCTGTACATGAACACTCAGATCCTTTTTAGTGTCAGACTATTGCAAACAATACTTCTGTAAGTGCCCAAGTATGTGCTCATGTGCAAGAATTTGTTCATTTTCCTATCTGCCTTACGATTTTTAGGTACACTTTCATTATAACTTCTTTTATTACAACTTTCATTCTCTATTTATAGTTTGATTCTGCTGATTGCAATACTTATTGATTATATATTGGAATATTTGCATTTGATAGTGTAATTTATTGCTTATACCCTCATCAATAACTTCTTCTTTGTCTGTTGAAAGGCTTAGTCTTTAGAGTTGCTTTTAACTGTTTTTCAAGTGTTCTATGTCCTTGTTTTTACCAGGCCTCAGGTACAGCACTAGCAGCTCGAACAATTTTATACTGAATTTTAAGCTTTTCAAGATTAAGTGATAATCTCACCCCAAGTATTTCAGAAAACCTGAGAAAATGGGAAAGTTCTCAACTTACTTTCTATTACTAGGAAAATTGTTGAAATTATTATTAGGAAAATTACAAAACCAGAAGAAAAAAAATGTAGTAGAAGAAACATAACGCAAAACCAATATCTCTCATAAACATAGCCATAACCAACCAGAACAAAACAATTTTAAAAAAAAATCCAGAAATTTATAAGAAAAAAAATGTATTATGTTGAATTCGGGTTTATCACAAGAATGCAAGTTTGGTTTAATATGGGTAAATCAGAATAATCTACTATATCAATAGGTAAAATAGAAAAAATGCAGGATCATCTCGATAGACACACAAAAAAACATTTAGAAAATTCAAACCCATTCAAGATAAAAAAAAAAAATAGTAAATACAAATAGAAGGGGACACCTGTAACTTGATAAAGAGAATCTTAGCAAAACCTACAGCTACCATCCTACTTAATGGTCAAAGGCTGCTGGTTTTGCCTACAGGACTGGGAATAAGGCAAAGAAACCCTCTCTCAACACTTCTGCTCCACATTGTACTGGGGAGTCCAGGCAATTTTAAAAGGCAAATAAAAATAAATAAAAGTAGTAAAGATGAGAAAGGAAGAAGTAAGACTGTCATTTTCAGAACTGGCATTATTGGAGAACCATAACATAGATTAGATTATCATATATTATTATAAAACAATAATATAGAGACAACTTATAGAATTAACAACAGTGTAAAAAATACATTTATCAGGATCTAGATATACAAGCAAAACATGCAGTACACAAGTTTAAGACCTAAAAGAACAGAACACAATATCTATATACCAGTCGCAAACAGTTGAAGTATAACATTAAAAGATTAAAATTTATAGAACCTTCAAAAACATCAAGTAATAGGCAGCAAATTTTTAAAATTTTAGTCAAACTCTCTCTTGGAATCTACAAAATATTGTTGACAGAAATTCAGAAAATTCCTAAATATGTGAGGAGATATACCTTGTTTATGGATTGGAGTTTTCAGTATTGTTAAGATACCCATCCTTCCAATATTGTTTTACAGATTCAATACACTTTAATGAA